CCCTGCACCTGGCTCAAAGTGATTTTTGACAAAGATGTATGAGCAGTTCAGTGGAGGAAATATAGCTTTATCAACCAACAGTACTGGAACAATTGGAAATCTTTAGGCAAAAAGAAAAACACAACAGAAAACCAAATACTTTGATTTCAGTTTTTCATCTTATGCAAAACAAACTCAAAGTGGACTGTGACTTAAATGTAAAACGTGAAACTATAAAAACTTTAGAATAAAACATAGGAGAAAATTTGGGGGATCTAGAGCTAGGCAAAGGGTTTTTAAACTTGACACCAAAAGCATGATCCATAAGAAGAAATACTGATCAATTAGGCCTTATTTTTTTACTCTTTCATAAGGATAAAAGACAAGCTATAGTCAGAGAAAATATTTGCAGGGGTTGGGTTTGTAGGTCAGTAGAAAGCATTTCCCTAGCATGTGCAAAGCCCTGGGTTCAATCCCCAGTGGTGGGGAGAGGGGGAATGTAGAAAGAAAAAAATATTTTTGAGTAACATATCTAACAAGGCACTGGTATTTAGAAGACCCTCTATTCTCTCTTCGTGTCTCTCTTTCTCTTTCTCTCTGACACACACATACACACACAAAAACACATATACACAAACGATACATGTATTATTTGTGTGTGAGTGTGTGTGTGTGTGTATTATCAAAACTATAGTGAAAAAGTCTAATTAGAAAATTGGCAAAAGACATGAAAATAGGGGCTGAGAATGTAGCTCAGTGGTAGAGTGTTTGCCTAGCATGTGTGAGGCACTGGGATTGATCCTCAGCACCATATAAAAATAAATAAATAAATAAATAAATAAAGGTACTGTGTTCATCTACAACCAAAAATATTTTTAAAAAGGATGTGAAAATAAATATCACCAAAGAAAACATATGGTTAGTGAATAAGCATGTGAAAAGATGTTCAATACCTTTATCTATTATGGAAACAGAAATTAAACCCTCAATGAGATTTCACTACCCACCTATCAGAATGGCTAAAATACATATGACATCATTGAATTCTGGTAAGGATGAGGAGAAACTGGTTCATTGGTATATTGCTACTGGGATGTCAAATGGTACAGTCATTCTGAAAAAGTTTGGCAGTTACTTAAAAAAGCAACATGTACTATCATCCTAACAAGCAACTTAAATCCTGGGCATTTAAACCAAAGAAATGAGGGCTTATGTTCATATAAATACCTGCACATGAATGTTTTTATTGGCTTTATGTGTAATAGCCAATCTGGAAACAGCTCCAATAACCTCCAGTTGAGTGGTTAAGCAAACTGTGAATCATGCATATTATGGAAGACTAGTCAGCAATCAAAAGGAATAAACCATGATACACAAAACAACTTGGGTAAATCTCCAGAGAATTGTGATGAATGAAAAAGCCAATCCCAAAAGGTTTCTTATGATTCCATTTGTATGATTTTCTTGAAATTAAAAAGTAAAAATAGAGAATAGATTAACGGTTGCCAGGGGTTAATGAGGGAGTAGAAGTGGAAGTGGAAGGAATGGCTATACAAGGGCAGCATAAGGAACACTCCTAGTGATGGAAACGTTTTTTCCCCACATTTTTATTGGTGCATTATATTGTACGTATATAATGATGTAATTTGTTGTTAAATCTCCCCTTGATTTCCATGATATCCATCTCTACCTTTCTTTTCCTTTTTCCTCTCTAACTTCTGCATATGAGAAAAAATATATGACCCTTGACCTTCTAAGTTTGACTTACTTCATTTAACATAAAGGTCTGTAATTCCATCCATTATCCAGCAAATGACATAATTTCATTTTTCTTTATGTCTAAATAAACTCTGTATTTTTTAGAATATCAATATTTAATATTCTAGTTGTGATACTGAACTATAGTTTTGTAATATGGTAGAAAACTAGGTAATGGATATAAAGATCATTCTGTGTATTTCTTATAACTGCATGCTCTAATCTATAATTATCTCAAAAGGTGTAACTTTAAAAAGTGAATCAATCACATTAACAATGAAAAATACACAAAGTATTACTCTTTAACCAATTTTCAGATACTCCATTTTCTTGAATGAAATATTCATGTTTTTTAATTAAAACTAAACTGAATTACTTTGAGTTCACATAAGGTTATTTTAAAATGAAATATTTGTAGCAAATACCAATGATAGCAATGGAAATATCCCTTGCCAAACTACTACACTGCTAATACTTTTCCAAATATGGACTTTTCACTTATTTTTGTACAAGTAGAAAATTCCTCTATCATTTATGTTTTGAAAACTAAGTAAGCATATCTGATTTACTTAATAAAGTCACAATGCCTCTGAATTCAATTCCAGCTTAAAAAAAATTACCATGATATATACACCAACATTTTCCAAAGCCAGTGCTAATTAAGAAACCAATGCACAGGAGCTAGGGGAAGAACTCAGTGATAGGGCAGTGCTGAACATGGGCAGGGCCCTGGGTTCCATCTCCAGCACCAAGAAAGAGAAAGAAGGAAAAAAAAAACCCACTATCTAAAATTCATAAAATACGTATACATACAAATAAATTTGCCTTTTATTTTCCACACTTGGCACAAAAGTCTCAAAGTGAATCCAGATCTCTTAAATCAAAATTTAAACACAATGACCATCCTTTTCAGGCCTGTGATTTTTTTCATTTGTAAATTAAAAGAGCATTACATGCCAAGCGCAGTGGTGCATGTTTGTAATCCCAGCAGATCGGGAGGCTGAGACAGGAGAATCAAGAGTTCAAAGCCAGCCTCAGCAAAAAGCAAGGCACTAAGCAACTCAGTGAGACCCTGTCTCTAAATAAAATACAAAATAGGGTGAGTATGTGGCTCAATGATCAAGCACCTCTGAGTTCAATACCCAGTATGTA